GGTCTCCATATCCACTGGCTGCTTTGCCTGAGTCCTGCCTCCAACATTCTAAACAGTTTGCTTCCCCCCCCCCACGGCCAGTCAGAACACAGAGGTCATTTGCATATGTGGCCTGATTCGCCTTTGCCTTGGAACACAGAGGTCGTTTCCATATGCGGCTCACTGGCCTTTCCCTCTAACATTCTAAACAGTTTACTGTTGATGTTCTGAGGTAAAATAAATTTTCCCTTAGTGTCTGTTGGGGGAAACCATGGTTGCAAATCTCCCGGTGAGGGCTAAAGATCACTCCGATTTACAACTGCTTTCCAGACGGCAGAGATCAGTTCCCCTGGAGAAAATGGTGGACTCTGTGTCCTGCTGAGATGGCCCCTGTATGACAGCCAATGTGACGTAGCAGTAAGGGTTTCAGCTATTAAAACTGATGTCCATATGACCCAGATCAGTTCTGCTGGAGACAATGGCTGCTTTGGGCAGTAGATTCTATGGCATTATACCCTGCTGAGGTCCCTCCCCACCCCAAACCCTGCCCTCCCCAGGTACAGGTATTTCAAATCTACAGGTATTTCCCAACCCAGAGTTGGCAACCGTGTAATCGGCTATGGAACTACTTTCCAGACCCTTGGAACCCAGAAAACGTGGCACTGGAGGAGGTGCTTTTCTACCTTAGCTGCCGCAACATAACACCCCCCTCCCCCTCAAAAAATAAGTCAGAGGTGGAGAGAACCATATCTGTTACCATGAGGCTGTCCTCCCCATCTGGAGCTTCCTTCTAGATCTCGTTGTATTTCTTCCCACAACGGGCATTATCCTAGTAGATACATGAAGATGTCTTATTCTGAATCCGACCACTGTATCATCAACACCAGTATTGTCTACTCTGACTCACAGTTGCTCTGTAGAGTGTCATATGAAGAGCTTTCACATGACGTGATCCTTTTGGGCATTATCCTAGTAGATACATGAAGATGTCTTATTCTGAATCCGACCACTGTATCATCAACACCAGTATTGTCTACTCTGACTCACAGTTGCTCTGTAGAGTGTCATATGAAGAGCTTTCACATGACGTGATCCTTTTAAATGGAGATGCTGAAGACTAAACTGGGACCTTCTGCAGGTGAAGCAGATATTCTACCACTGAGCCACAACCTGTCCCCTGAATCGATTTCTCATCCCCCCTTCTTTAGATTACAGTTGATGTCCTTAGTTTTATCATCATGTGCCACGGGTGACACTGGTAAAACTAGCGGTGGACAAGTCGCCATCTCCTGTAACGATGTGAACCAGGGACATCTTGGCCAGTACGGTGTTATTACTATGACTTCTGCCCTCAACATTTGAATTCTCCGAAGGAGATGGGGGATTATCGGCAATGGTGGAAAAGCATATAGGAGGCCGTGGGGCCACTGGACCGTCAGAGCGTCCGTGGCTGCTGCTTGGTGATGGAAGTATCGAGTGAAGTATCTTGGCAGTTGAGCATTGGCAGGACTCGCGAACAGATCCACCAGTGGTCTTCCCAGGTTGTCCGTGATGAAGCGGAATACTTTCCTGTTGAGAGACCATTCGCTCTCCTGGATAGTTTGACAGCTCAGCCAGTCCGCTTGTACATTCACAACTCCTTGTACATGTTCTGCTTGGATCGAGGCTAAGTTTGCTTCTGCCCACTTTAGTAAGTTGATCACTTCTCTGTGTAACATCGAGGACTTGGAGCCTCCTTGTTTGTTCACATAGGCATTTGCAGATATGTTGTCTGTGTGAACAAGAAGATGGGTTCCCTTGATTTGGAGAGAAAAGCACTGAAGAGCAAGTCGGATAGCGCGAAGTTCCAAAAGGTTGATCAGAAGGGTCTGTTCCATCTTTGACCCCTTTCCCTGTACTGGCCGGTTTTGTAGGGTGGCTCCCCACCCTGATAAACTTGCATCGGTGAACAGCTGAATCGGTCCTGAATCCAGAAGGATTTCCCTTTGGATAAATTGGATGTGTTGGTCCACCAACGAAGACTCATCTTTACTTGCAGGGGAACCTTCAAGGATATGTCCATTCTCAGAGCTATGGAGGATTGGAAGGGTCTTAAGAATAACTGAAGTTGCCTTGAATGGAATCTTCCCCATTGAAGGGTGTCGAACGAGGCGACCATTAGTCCCATTACTTTAGTTAGTATGGACAGGGACGAGGTTCTTGCCGTGATGATCTGCTTGGCTATTGATTTGATCTTTTGAGCCTTCTGCATGGGTAGATATAGTGAAGTTGTATTGGTATCTATGATCACTCCAAGGTGATCCAACCGCTGAGATGGAGTCAAGGAACTTTTGTTCGTGTTTACAAGAAAGCTGAACTCCTGTAGGCATTGGAGTGTCTTGCGTGTGTCCTGTATTGACCTAGTGTCCTTGACCTTATCAATAGGTCATCTAAATGGGGGTGAATGTGGATTCCCCTTTCTCGTAGGGTAACTATGGGATGAACCATTATTTTTGTGAATACCCTGGGAGCTGACGAGAGTCCGAAGGGCAGGGCCCGGAACTGGAAGTGATTATTTCCTAAGAAAAAACGCAGAAATCTCCTGTGCGGGGGACAGATCGGGATATGCATATAGGCCTCTGTCAGGTCTAGGGATACAAGAAATTCCCCTGGTTGAAGTGACTCTGCAATTGATCATAGAGTTTCCATGCGAAACTGCTTGTGAACGACAAATTTATGTACAAACTTCACGTCTAAGATTGCCCTCCAGTCCCCTGTCTTTTTGGGG